AGACTTTTAGTTTCAATCAAAGATCAAGCTTTAGTACAACTTCGTACTAACCTCCAAAAAATCCCGGATGTCACAACCTCATGGCTTTGTACTGGCAATAATAACACAAACGCGCTTACCAACGTATATTCGATACGTAGTTAATACTAAAACACCATCCAGGACATCGAAAATGGGAAGGAAAGCGATCAGACAGGCATGAAACCAGACTTTTCCGAAATTTCGAGCCCACGGAGTTCAGAGTATGTATTACGACCATCCGTGACTACAATTCAAAGTTGAAAAATTGATATTCTCCAAAATCCCTTAATCTACAGATCCAGAACAACACTGAATGGCAAATATTAAACCACAGACCATCAATATCGAAAGGGGTCTTCCAACGTGTTATGCCCTTGGGAAACAGCAAATCGTCGGTGTTGTAAAGTCAATATCCAGATCTAACAATCGCATCACCGATGAAGCGGAATTTTTCAAATTTTCAATCTCTCTGCTGAAACGACTGTTTAATGAATATTCGACACCATCCATAACCTTTCTTGACTTGCCATATAACAAACCCATTCAATTAGATAATTCAAAAGAAACGGATCTTTTTTTTCAATCAGTAAACATTTATAGATTCCCTCAACAACACAGACGCAGAAGACACAACCAACATTTTTAAAGGGGCAATCTGGCGTAAGACAGAAGACCTTGAGAATGCGTTGGTTGGACTTGAGCGTCCTTTCAAAGTTCATCGGACCATGATCAAATCGAACAAATTATCAAAGCCTAACACGATCCATTTTTACACTTTACTCTTTCGAAATTCCAAAGCTGTCAATATTCTTAGCGATTACCTCGTGATGAAGTGTATGAGGAAGTTTAACCAGAATTACACATTTGCATCGCATACATCAGATACGCGTATTCACATATACAAGATCACTTTAAAATATTGATCAAGGCAAGTAAATGAACAATTTTGTGCGAATATAATCCATGATAGATGTTGAGTTGATGCCAGCAACAAAAAAAACCCTGTCACTAGTGGTTTGGGAACAATAAACACCAGAGCTGGTTGTCACCACATGCAAAGGTATGTAAATTAAAAATTAGTAACTTAAATTTAACTCTTGCCTTTTTTTGCAGTGAAAGACACCTCAGTAAAGTCGGCGTGCAGGTTTAATAGCCAACGTTAATGAGATGCAATCCAAAACAAGAGGTCGTTTAAGTACGCTTGCCATTGATCAACATCTGAATACATTTACACCGGTCGCAGATATGGAAACCCCTTCAATACATTGATGAATACAGGTAGATAGGTCACGTATGATTACTAAGAACATGAAAATGCAAAAGGGGTACAAAAATCCACTCCAAGAATTTATAAGGTTTCATAAAGGTTTAATAAGGGTGAAACAATATTGAACTCTCCTATTAATGGGGTAACATATGATCAATAATAGCCAAACACCACGATTTCTAAACAACAACTACCGTGGTATACAACATTCATGTAGGAAAGCTTGATATTCAGAAGTCAGCTCAAAAGTATGTATGCAGAAGCAATGAGCATCCATGCAAAGCAGCACACATATGAGTCCGACTACTGAAAATCAAATAGACAAAATGTTACTGATAACCGGGGTTTTTAACCAGCCAAAGAGGAGGAACTGAGCTGCAGGAGGACTGCGAAAGATATACACAGCACTGGGTTGTGAAGGGGAGTTTTGATCTCGCAGTTTGGTGGATGTTGTCGACTTACTTCCTTTTTTTTTTCCTCTCTTTCTTTGGTTCCTTCGTTCTGCAACCTTTTTGTTTGTTATCCGTTTTCCTTCGCAGTTGGACACGGGACCTTTTCACGCTTTTTTTTTTGTTTGTCTATATCCCCAGAGACCCGCTGAGACGCGTTTTTGCTTGTCAACGAAATTGTCCAAACAAAAATGGACAATTTTGGATCAAAAAGACATCTTGCCAAGATAATATACGTAACTTTACAACAAAACAGAGTCTTTATATTATTATGATACAAACACGTCGGGAAGCTATTGAAGAAGTTGTGTGACTAAACGGTGTGATTGATTAATTTAAATACGCTATGGGGAACGGTTTGTTCTCTGGTTTGTTCTAGTTCTTCTCCCCATAATTTCCTTCAAGAAATGTAGGTACGTCATCCAGATATTGGCGCATCCCGACTTAAGCAACTCCAGTTGTCTAACTTTGGTTTACTGTTGACCATGTCCTGGCAATCGCAGTTGCTTATAATCATAGTACCCGTTTCGTTGATGTTGCTTCATTGTTCGTTGTATTTTAATTGTCAATTAATATTTAGAAATCAAATCAAGTTGCGTGAATGGATAAAAAAAATGATTTTCGAAGGTTTGCAAGTAACATCATGTTACTCCTGGGCATTCATCAAATTCTGCGATTCGTCTCCAGCAAATTCAGTATTTGTGCATATTGCCCCAGTCTTGTTTACATCTTTGAAGTTTTGTTAGATAGTTGAAGTGATTGTAGATGGTACTGCTTTATTTTATTTTCTCGACGTGTATGTCTACCAATGCCCGTCTTGATGTTGATTGCCTTGTTAATTTATACCATGAACGGTGGAGATGTTTCTTTCACATGGGCTTTTCGGTCATATAACTGTCTGTTTGTGTGCTGACGTCCGAAAGGAGGCACAACGTAAAAAATTGGGTTTACACTCCAATTAGATCAACTTGCAGTTGCGCATCGATCATTATCTTTTTGTGGGAGGATGTTTCGAAGTTTTGAACGTAAAAGTAAATGCTATATGTCCATAAACTGGAAGTTTTAGCTTGTGAACTTGGAGTAGTACCGAAATTTGGTTTGACCAGTCTCTTATCCATTGTCAGTACTGCGGGCTCACGAGGAAAAGCTCAGTTTCGTGGTGTTAATTAGCTTGTGTGAACTCCCATTTATGTTTGTGACCCCGGTGGTGTTTATAACGGGAAAGACTTCTTCAAAGATGTGCTAGTAAGGCAGTTTTTAAGCAGGGTTTGATGTTGCAACATCACCAATGTTTTGGAGGTTGCTACGATACGTGAACCTAAAACTGACGCGTATCTGATTGGTTGTTTGTTGGTGAAATGTGGTTGATAGATGCATATGGATGGAATACGTCGCAAAGTGAAGCTTGGGGGAAATAGTAAGGTCCCAATAATTTGTCTCAGGTTGTAAATGAGGGACGTACTGTAGTTTTTCCCTATGGTTTCCCACGCTTACAAACCTTCTTTGAAAGGGTCCTTTTTAATTTCCTCAAGGGAAGTTTTTTTTGGTTTGCTCAAAGAACATTGCGCGTTCGAGATGCCATTGGTTGTTAGTGTTCCATCTGTGTCCGGTCCGGTTGAACAAAACGATGAAGTATGTTTTATGTATATTTGTAACAAGCTTGTATGTAAATATCTGCAACCCTTCAGGCGAAGAAACTTTTGCGAGACCTTAAAAAAGGAGATATGTTGAGTCTTGAGAAGGTTGTGACTCTCTCCCAAAGTGTGGGGTTGTTTGTCAAGAAGGGGAAAGATGGCAGCGTGAAACAGCTTGATTCACCGACGCACGAAACCTGTTGTAGCGGATGTAAAAAGTCCCACAATATCTCAAATCATAAAGTCTTTGACTCGAAAAACGGAGCTGTCATCTTTTACGGACAGTGTGCAAAGTGCGGTGAGAGATCCAATCGATACTCCCAAAAGGTCAGCGATGTTTTCTTTTCTTCGTCAACCATTGCTTAAATTGTTGTTCTTAGAAATCTGCAGAGAATAAGGCCTTGGAGGCCAACGCTCGGGAAGAAGAAAGGAACGGAAATTATCAGCAAGCTGTCGAACTACGCAATCAAAAGTCTTTTGCTAAATCTAACGCAAAGGTATGCATTGTGGATAATGCATTGAATGATAAATGTTAACTGTGACGTAAACAAGGCTAAGGAAAAGTTGGAGAGCGTTAAGAATGAAAGCCGAAGTTACGTGTACGACAGCGTCGGTCCCAACTCGCTTATTGATCGAAACAAGGTATTGCCCACAAGAATTATTTCGGTCTGTTATGCATGTTTTGATATCACTAACACACGTAAAGTTGAAGGAATGGATCTGGACCTTTGTGGATTGTAAAGCTAAAAATATTAGGGACAGCGGTTGGACCAGCAGGCAAGCCAGACTGTTTGTACTTTTGTTGTTGAAGAATGGGTCAGTTAGCGGAGATGAAGTGAAGAAGTTTATCAAGGGGGTGGTCTCGGAGAAAACTGCTGCTGAAGACCTTTTAGAGGATCTCGTCCCAATGCGAGGAGAGGGCAGGTGTTTTTGGACTGGATATCCGGTTTACTTCTTCTTTACCAATGTAGGCTTCAATGAGGTCTGTGCACGTCAGTTTATTCTATTTTCGGACGTCGGCTTTTCAGTCCTCTAACTTGGCAAGGGCTGGAATAGGCCTCACCGATAGAGTCTTCAACGAGAAAGCACTTCCATACTTTGCAGATGGGCAAGTGACTGTCCTCACCTCAAAAGCGGTGAATTTGTGAGCAAAAGCAAAGCATATTTGATGTTTATAATGACGCATTATTTCTTCTCTTTTTGTTCAGGGGATTTAACAATACGGTGTACAAATCAAGACTCCATTGGATTAAATCGGTGTCGAAATTATTTCAAGATGTCGAGGACAAGACTTTTGAGTTTAAGCTGTCTTCGGAAGTATTACTAAATCCGTTTTGGGGATACGCGGCATCAACGCACACCCAGTTGGTTGGAAAGGCGGAACTGGCGAGGGTATTGCTTACTGGGTTGAACTCTTTGCGGGATTTTCCTGTTCGAATTGAGGATATCAATGTCAGAATTTGACGCACAATTTGCCGCTTTGTTTGATCGTTGTTTTTGTTATATTGGTCATATCTCGCATGAATAAAGAGCGCGTCGGGCAAACCCACTGAAACATAAACAGTTAATTTCTAAATATAGTTCCCTACTCTCTTTACGAATATGTCCAGATTTCTACCATTTTCAACAGCTGCTATGGCGCAATTGGCTAGCGCATTCGGCTGTTATCTTCGGAAAGTAGACAACCGAGAGGTTGGTGGTTCAAGCCCATCTAGCAGCGACGAATGTAAAAGAGTTTGTAAATAACTGTGCTATTTTTAGCATTTGTAGACCCCCTCCTTTTGGGGCATAGCCATCGCTTCCTTTACTTCTTAAGAGGACAGCACTTTTCGAAAGTATTTCGTCATTTTTTATGTCTCTTTCCAACCATTTCCAACCAGAGAATGACTGAGCAAGTGCGTTGATTCCTTGACGCGTAGAAGAGAGAATCACGTTCAACTTCTGCGCCTGATCACGTTGATATTCTAGCCCAAAATTTCTTCTTTTTTTTGTAAGTTTTTATCAAATTTTGGCTTCGTTGGTCTGGACAGATCCTCATTCAACCTATCATAATGGCAACGGCATGGCCAAACAGGAAACTGGATACCACCTTGAACATGGATGATGATGACAATACCTTTGCATCATCATCTCATCCTCGCCGATCATCTCCACAGACATCGTCACTTCCAATATCATCAAACCAACCACCTTCGGTTCGATCACACCCAGCCAGCGGCACGGCAACTCCACCCCCAGCCAATGTTGCTGCGGCAATAGCATCATCAAACTACTCTTCGTCTCTATCAAAGATCATCCTTCCTGAACGACTGACATCGCAACTGTTAAGACTGCTATCAAACCTTCCCACATTGAATAATAGCAACTTTAACACCATTCGAAATCGGATGATCCCATCATCATTTATGACGTCAACACCTGCTGACATTGGCACAATAGAGATGGAAATGGATTTGGCAACGAGGCTCCGGCAACAACAACTCTTAAAACAAAAACAGCAACTGCTCAATCGGAAACCTAGATGGATCCCCAAGTTCCTTGCATTCGTCTCTCAAGTTGAAGGAGCAGATAAAACTTACCGAGTTTTGGTATATGCACTGCGCTTATGTGCTGCTCTTTTGGCTACAGATTCAGCAGTCTGGATGAGTGCAGGTCGCAGTGATCATATTGCTGTTAAACTGCTGAGATTGGCGGCTCCGATCGAAGAAGCTAGGATGGTTTTCAGAATGTTTGGAACTCTGTCGGCTTGGGAAAGTCTGACAAATGGGAATGGGAACGGCGACGGTGGTGGGTCTGCTGACGGCGTTGGAGTTGGTGTTGGGTTGGATCCTGTTGGTGGATCGGGAGATCTGGGTCTTGATGATGATGATCTTGATCTTCATGATGGCAATCTTAATGGTCCGGACGGCGATCGCTTTGGAATGGATGAGATTACCAACATGCGCAATCTGGACGACACTGACTCTAATGTTTCCACACATCGTGGGTACATGTCGGATGATGAAGGAGATAATGCCAATGATCTGGAGATGCAGGATGTAGATGGTGATGAAGACGACGATGGACAAGGAAGAGATCAGGACGATGATGCGGCGAGTCACTACGAGTCTTCGAGGGAGTGGCATGGGGCTCCTCTTCGTCCACAAAGACTGCGATCATCTTCATCAACTGACAGAGCCACGGACAAAGGGAAAGGAACGGTGCCGAGGAATGCTGCTACTGCACGGTATCAAAATGGGGGTGCATCATCAACGGGGAAATGGAATGGGAAACCGCAACGCCCATCACGCCTTGGGTCAGATCCAACTGGCAGTCCAAACAATGACCAGACCACTGACTACTCAAAACAGCTTAGACGTCAACCTACAAAGTCGACTAAACCCATACATATACCTTCCTCCTCCAAAACGATGCCATCATCACGTCCACCACCGCAACGTCACCAATCCCGTCATAGGAATCCTCCCATCGTATCCCCACTGTCGTCGCCAGATCACCTCCCACCGATACCAATGACACTTCCACCAATCCCAACACTTTCACCAACACACGCACAATCAACAACACCAACCTCATTCTCAGACGAAAGATTCCTAAAATCCTTGCGAACATGGCAAAAGGTCATGTTACTATTATACTACCCCTTGGAACATTTATATTTCATGGCATACCACAAAGTCATTGGATTCCGTCCACCACCTCCACCAGCACCACGAAAACCACCGGCTTCACTATCAGCATTTAGAGCATCCTCATCAGCTGCATTACAAGCCTTCTCAGCACCACATCACCACGTACATAGACTATTTCAACCTAAAAATGATCACGCTTCATCGTCATCTGTCCATGTCCCTAAACAACCGCCACCACCAATCATAATCTCACAACCTCAACAACAATTACCACCCCATCATCAAAGTGTTGCTGCGTTTTCCGTACAGAGAACACGAGATCTATATAGATGGGCGTCAATGGCCTGGTTGGCTTATTTGTTATTGGAATTCACGGCTGTTGCTAGAGCCATGTCGGCTACTGCTAAAGCTGCTGCTACTGTACGACGACAACGAAGATTGTTACGACATCGCGCGAGATGGAGTTGGGAATCTTTGGTTGGGGATGCTTTGGATTTTGGAGCTGGGGCTTTTGGTGTTGATGGGTGGTGGTGGGCTGGAAACACTGGTGGTGGTCGCGGTGGTGTTAGACAAGGTGGTGGGTTAGGTGGTTTGGGGATATCTAATGGTGCAACCAGTGACGGAGATTTATCTCCAGGTGCTAATCTTGGTGATGGGTCTAATGCTCCACCACGGGTTGACGAGACAAGTGCGTCTATGATTGAACATGGGATGTTGGAGGATGAATTACGCTCGTTGAATTCCGAGATGAGGAATCATTGGTTGCGTCTTGTTGGCTTGTTTGGTGATTTACCGTTGGCCATCAACGGTTCTTTGGCTTCACATCCTTTGCCTTTATGGGTTATCGGGTTTTGTGGGACGGTATCAAGTCTCGCAGCATGGAGGCTAAGGTGGAAGTATATGGTTGATTTCATCGATGTGGACTGAGGAGGACACGGGGTGGTTTGAGTGATGGTTTTTTTCCGAGTTGCCTTTTTATTATTTTGCCTTTCTGTATTTATCTATGATTTTTTAATTCTGAGAATGGGTTTTTTTTTGACCCAGCAGTCACCTTAATAAATATGCAATATATGTAATCCAATGAAGAAAAGTGGTTCACAGCACAAATGAATCAAAACGCGTTCTCAGTTTGACTTCATTGTATGTATTGAATGGTGCACAACAAAAACTGTTTCTGAGACCAATTGTCTTCCTTTCCCTCTCATGGCTCTTCCGCCAAAATAATACCCCAAATAGGAAAAAAATAATTTTACGTCAACAGCGCTATCAACATCATCCAATCAGGCGCCTAAAACTAATTGCACACAAAGTTGAACCGACTCAACAAATGTGGCAATGCTGCCAGTTGTGGTCCATATCTTGTCGCGTTATCGTAAAGTTCAAAAAGTGGAACTGCCAGCAGTTTCATATTTTTAGGAACCGATAATAATTCTAGGGTGTTGATCAAGCAGGTAAACATGTTAGTGTCAAGTCTGTGGAACGGAAATGCCCAATCGGGAAGCTGGAGGCTGGCTCGACAAGTAACGCAAATAAAAATCCACTCTGAGCTCACTTTTCTCCGGAAGATGCACGAGGAACACTTTTTTCATTTCTTTTGGTTTCTGTATTTAAATAAAGGGTGGGAAATGTTAGCCAAGGTAAACAGGTATGTCGCTAACGAATACACAACACAGAAGAAATGACTCACCGTAATATGCGCCGGAACATATGGATACTAAAAGGTTGGCGAGTGTCGATGAGAAAAATAGAAAAACAAGAGTGCGTTAGTAATGATTGAATGCCAATAAATGTAAAAGTGTCCTTTGCTCCTATACTGTAAACTTCACGAAAAAAACACGAGAACATGAAGACCCCACAATTTAAAATAACCAAGAACAAGAAGAAAAGGGCGACGAGTACTCAGGGTCAAGTTTTTATCTTTGTTTTCTGTTTCTTCGGGTACAGCAATTACACCATCACAATTAACAGTCTCATCGCCCATCACGAATCAATTGAAAGACAAACATAAATAATATCAAAATAATATCAAGATGCACATGTCCTTGGAGAACAGAAAACGAAAATAATAACAAATAAAGAAAAGACAAGAACAGAACAGAACAGAACAGAACAGAAAAGGAAGGAAATAAGACAAAAAAACCAGCAACCCCCATCCCGGCAAACCCTCAGATACACTACGAGACGCATAAACAAAATAATATCTAACGACCGACACAACCATATGTGCGTAGATACATTTGCTTGCACAAAAATAAAAACATAAAATACAACACCCGACAAACAAGCATCCCGTCTCAAAATAGCGATATTTCCCTTTAGACGGAAGCCCAAAAACTCGGTACCATCTAATAATCAGCAAGACCCTCAAACCAAACCTTCCATAGCGTCAAGACTTAAGAGTATCAAAATGGGCATAAATAATAATATAAAGTAAAGTAAAATAGAACTGGAGAACAAGAAAAGTAGATAAATTCCTAAATTCAAACCCCCACCAAGAACGCCAAACTTAACAAAGTGAGCTCAACATGCCTCGTTAGCCAAAACAATAAAGGAATATTACTCTCCAGAAAGTCCACTCACCATATATGTCTCATAGTTTGGTCTCCACCATACACTCAGCAGCTCGCCAATCTCCCAATCCCCACCCGTCACAGCAGCAGCAGAAGCACCCCCTTCAACATTAGCAGGAGCCAGTCTCTGATTCAATCTACTCTTCAATCCTTCAACCTCATCTTCTCCAGGCTTCAATGCATCACCCGGTAACTTGAAAAACGAATTTGCAATCTGTAACATTAATACGTGCGGATGTCCGTGCTCATGAACTACCAGTACTCCTTCTACCGTCTGTCTCATTCCTTGTTTTTCGTATTCGGTTCGGAGTCTTTGGAGTCGGGCTGGAACTGAGGGGTCTTCTTCTGGTTGGGCGTCTTTGACTCCAAAAGTGTAGCCTGAAAGTGGGTACCTGTATAAAGTAAAGTTGAACAATCGTGAAAATGGTTCGGTTAGTTTCTATTTCGATGAGATGAGAATGCATGACGAGCTTTTCAAAACTCGTGCTGAGCCTTGGCAATGCCATTCACGCTACACT